TTCCCACCGATCTTGCTGGTAATGAACGTGTACATGTTGGACTTGTCGGCGGCTGGCGCTGTGAATTACATAACCAGCTCCCACTCACATGGCGGCTTGCACGCGGCACCAGCGTGGAATCACACAGCCACAGGCTCGATGCCTTTCCTTGTCGGCCTTTCTGCTCTTCGACTACGACTACGTGCGTGCTCACCCGGTTATCCCAGGTGACTGCGTCAGAGTCAGACAGCAAGCAAGGCACTCACTGTGGTATCACGGTGACTGCTAAACTCTAGTCTCTCCCGGCTTATCGTAACTTCACTCGTGTTCGTGTTCGACGTGCTCTCCTCCTCCTCTCGCCTTCAGGTCACTTACAGCTGGCAAGTGCGCGCTCACGGTGGTATCGTTGTGACCACGCCTTGTCCAGTACTCCCGCTCTCGTCCAACGCACGCTTACGGTGGTATCACTGTAACCGTCCATTCTTCATACCTCCCGCTTGCCCTCAAGTGTTTGCTCCCGACGGTTTTCCTGTCACCGACCCTCTCCATTATCTTGCGACGTCCGTTTGATCCAAGATGTCTGTGGCTGTGGCTAAGTGAGTTATATTCCTGTCTGCATCGTCACCTGGCCATTCTTATAGGGGTCTTGTTATGTCGTTATGTCTAGTGATCTCTACACTATAATTGACGAACATGGCCGTATCATCACCTCCCGGACAAACAGCCGCCTCCTCAACGAAATTTCCCTCTACTACTATGAACCGACGCCTAGGCAGTATATGGAGACAAACTGGGCATGCGAGGAAACTCCGTGGCAGCTTGAAGTCATCCAGCCTCATGTGCAACGGTGGGATGGGGTCTTCCGCCGGTTGAACCTCACGAGGACATCCGTCCCGGTGGTGCGTTGTGTTGGCGGCTGGGTGTTCGCAGATCGGGAATATTGGGCAAATTTGGAGGAAGCCCTGCTGTCATTGATTTCGATGCTCGGTAGCATGCTCCTGGTGCCCCTCCGCACGACAGCACCCAAGTTTCCCAGAACGTATGGTTATGGCAACGTCTGGCCGACTGAGGCTAAGGTCAAGTCTACGGTTATGTACAGTCGGACCGCTTTTGCAATGGTCATGGGTTATATCGACTATCTCCTAACTAGAATATATCGGAAGAAGCCGACTCTCATCCTGTCAGAGCTTTGCAACAGACATGGCCTGAATATGCGCTGGCTGGATTTGGTAACTAGTAGCTCGTTCCTATCGAGTCCTAAATCTGATCGGGTGGGTGCAATATTCAACGGTCAAAACCCAGTGTCCTGGGCGCATGAGGAGATTAGCACCTGCACGGAACGTGGCTACCCGATCTTCGTTTACTGGGGATCGGTGCAGGCGTTTGGTAAGATCGACCCACGCAACGTCCCACCATATCTTGCACCATTCCTACCATCGGCAGGGTCTGTGAATGCAATCCTAGCTGGACAATCCGTCCCCTCATCGCTGCCGGAATGCCAGCCCTCACCGCCGCAAGTCCACTCCTCCTGGTCTTCATGGCCCGTATTACAGTCGTCCCCAGCTCAGTCGTCCTCGGCCCAGTCCGCCCCTGCTCAGTCATCTACGGCCCAGTCCGCGCCTGAAAGACGATATGACCCACTTGGTCGTGGGTCCTATATTGGTGAAGGACCCCTGGAGTTCATAGAAAGGCGAAAGGCACGCGTCGCAGAGCGTTATGCGAAGGCGACTCGTAGTCAAGTGCAGTCGTGGAACAGCAAGGCTCAAGCTCAGCGAGACTACCCATGCCCCGGTAATTCATCGAAAGCTCCTACGGTTTACCGCTGGGAAGTGTTGGACGAAGAGCGCGGCTTGCTGGTGCGGCGTGTCGTAACACGTTCTGAAGTGCCGGATATATGGTTCGAGGTGCATGATAAATACAAATGGTATGACCCCACCGAGAATTCTTGGGACCTTTATGATGCTATCCGACCGGATCGGGTGACCGTGGAGGCTTATGATGAACCCGGCGTCGATGAAGAGTACTATGAGCCCACCCCGCCGGCAGGCTCACCTCCTACTGATCCTGTTCCACCGCCTCCTCCAACTGCCACCCCTCCTCCGGTTCCCCCGCCTCC